AAACCATTTCAGGTGACTACCTCTTGAAGCTTATCGAGAGAATGCCAAGAGTGTGCAAAGCAGTAATCAGAGCAAAGGGTGGCTATTTTGAAGAAACTAGAATATAAAACATGTTTTCAGTTATTTCACCTTTTTTTGTTAAGTACATAACTCCACATTTGTTCATTCATAGTTTTGATGCCTTCAGTGAGAATCTACAATGTAAATAGTCATGAAAATAAAGAAAACGCATTGAATGAGAAGGTGTGTCCAAACTTTTGGCCTGTACTGTATATTCACAAGTGCAACTGTGCAAACAACAGGTTGCAACAGGCTTCATCACTTTACAATAATCTTATACACAAGCAACAAGAAACAGTCCTGATCATACATCCAACCCACATCACAGGTGCATACAGTGAGGGGGAGGGTCAAAAGTGCTGCAACTATTACTCTGACCAATACACAGTGCTTAGAGCAAAACATCAAAACAACCGCAACTTTCTTCCACTTACAACTTCTAAATCAAAATTTGTATCAACTGTACAAGCAAATAAACACAGGTCATGTGCACGACCTAAATTCACATCAACATCTCTTAATATACATTTCTCACTATTTTTTTTAAACAATAACAGGATTGGGAATTAACTTTTTTGTCCACTTGCCACTGTGGCTGGCAGATTCCAGACTTTCCCAGCCACTTAATGTATTACCATCTAAATCTAGCAGCCACTTGCATATTCTACCAAGAACAATGAAAACTAACAATGAAAAATACAAAAGAAAAAAACAGCTCAATCTTTGTTATTAAAAGTTTTGGAGTAATGATTGCATCTTCAGCATATATAGTCTCCAAATAGTTATTTTAGCTACACAGTCATAATCCAGTCTGTGCTCTGCACATTCATCACCGTCTGGTTTGGATCTGCCACCAAACTGGACAGGAATAGACTGAAATGGACAATTAGGTGCGTAGAGAGGATTATTGGGACTGATCTTCCCTCCAGGACCTGTACCGGTGAAGGGTTAGGAACCGGGCAGGAAACATCTCTACAGAACCCTCTCACCCCGGACACAATCTGTTTAAACTCCTCCCCTCCACTAGGCGCTACAGAGCCCTGTTCGCCAAAACCACCTGTCACAAAGACAGTTTCTTCCCCCAGGCTGTCACTCTGATGAACACCTAAATGTCACAGAGTGGCAGGTCAAACAACACTGCATCCTTGTATAGTGTATATTTTTTACATTTGATATATATTTGTATAATGTATATTTCTGTATATTCCACCTCTTGACTAGATTTTGAGTATTTATGTCATTTCTGGTACACTGAGAGCAAGTCTACTGGAGTCAAATTATCTATATGTACACACGTACTTGCCGAACAAAGCTGATTCTGATTCTGATTATAAGGAAATTTTTCTTCCAGGTGCTCTACATAGCTATGACACAGCTGTATCCCCAATGCAGATGTCTATCTTAAAACAAAAACTGAGACTGCATTGTCCTGTAATGTCTGCAATGTTTTTGACATATTACTGTATTCAGACACAATTAAGACATAATTTTGTTTTGAATTCTGAACTGAGGGATCCATCCGTTTTTGCCAGTTCATTCCATTTGCTCTATCATATGTCATTGTCAAATATTTTCATCATAGCTTTCTCAGAACATAACAAATTTTCATGTCTCTTCATCTAAAAATCGAACTGGTCACTGCTACAAATGCATTTCAACTTCAACAACTGTCCAAATAGAATTTTATCAATCGTTTAGGACAGGAGCATCAAACATACTGCATGCAGGCCAGAATCAGCCCATCAAAGGATCTAATCCGGTCCACTGGATGACATAGCACACCTCATATTGATGCAGGCAAAGAGGTGGCAGGTTTCAGGAGCAAGTTAAACAGATGCTTTGTGTTTAGAGGCTTTTCCAGCCTGACCAAGACCATGTTTCAGAAAGCAGAGTTAACAAACTCTGCGTCTACCCCTGAACTCTGAGTTGATGAACCCTGAGATGGAAAACTTAGTTTTTGGTTCCAGAACAGCTGATCAGTGTCAGTTCACTCAGCTCTGAATGTGTTCACTCTGAGTTAAGCTTGGGTTATTGGTTGTTATTTGTTGTTAGTTATCAGTTATTCTGCAATAGTTTCACAGGTCCAGCCCACTTGAGATCAAACTGGGCTGTATGCTCCCCATGAACTAAAATGAGTTTGACAGCCCTGCTTTAACATAATGACTTGATGCTTGTAATATTGTGAGTCTATCAGTCTCCCCACAGTAAATAGAAACCATATCATCATTGGCATAGAAATAATGTAAAACTTCATGTAAAGACAAACTTACCTCCTCCCCTTTGGAGAGTCGATCTGGCAGCATGTGACTGAAAACAGATACAGAAAAATGTACTGCATTACATGCCACTTAAAACTAGAATTACCACCCCGCAGTTGTATGCCTCTGCGCACCAGTCAAGTTTCTCTTACAGTTTATATCTATGTCCGTGAAAACATGGATGCTTCACACACATTTTCCTCCTGACAGCACAGGAGATCTATACAATTAGCACAGATTCAAGATTAGTGTCACCAATTCAGTATCTGACCAAATGTCTCCCCTTCTGGGGCGCCTGACCAAGGGCAGCCCCCTCACTCTGACATCTCTCCACTTTGTGCATGTATAGGTCCTGTTTGTGCATGTGTGTGTCTTTCAGACCTGTGTGTAATTGACAAGCAAGAGTGAAAACAATGAACTTCCCCTCAGGGGGATTAATAAAGTAAATAAAGTAAATAAACTTAAAACTGTTCCTGAGATGACTGTGCTCACATGTGCGCGCTTGTGCGTGAGACCAGCGAAAGCAAGTGAACACACATGAAGGCGGTGCCCATGTCTCACGGTCTCGCGCAAGCGCACACACGTCAGTGCAGTGTACACAGAAGCAGTTAGAGCTACAGGCTACAGTGAGTTCAAATGACGTTTTTCCAAACAACTTTTTATGTCGGGGCTTCAGGACACTTGGATCACTACGAACGAGCAGTGTGGAGATATTTTGTGGTTTCAATTATGTGTTCTTGGACGTTTTAATCTGGGTCGCTGTAAGCCATTAGGTGTGCAGTTGTGCTGCTACCCACTTCCCCCTCGGATCTCCGTAAGGGATGTGAGGACTCTAAAACTTCACCAGAGCCTCCCTTGGCATATGGGTGAGTAGATAATGGCTGAATTTTCATTTTTGGGTGCACTATCCCTTTAAGAGGGATAGTGTCACACTGTCACAGAGGGAGGGTGTCACACTTCAGTCTTTTCAAAGTCTTCTAATGTATGTGAGGCATAAGTGAGAAGAGGGTCTTTTGGAATTAGGGCAAACTGGCCCTTTAATTCAGCCGATCAAAGCATAAGTCAAGGACTTCACTGGGACTCAGAAAGTGCATGAGCACTGGAGCAGAATCTACTACATTCTCTTGAGAGGGGTTTTGTAACAGCTATTTCGGTGCTGTTCACAGTGTTTGTGGCCATGAAAGAGAAAAGAAATCAATAGATCACTCCACAAATAACCTGCAGTCCAAATATGATTCAGTTGTGACTGATGAGGTGAAGTGCAGCAGCTCCAGCACCTCTGGGCACTCCCTTTGGCTCTCTGCTGTATCAACTCCTACTTCACTGATCTTTTCCTCTTTTACACACACACATGCACACGCACGCACACACACATGCACACACACGCACACACTTCTTCTGCTTGGCCAATGTCTCAAGAGCTTGGGCAAGCCTGCTGATGTATAATTACATGAGCTAGCTGGCAGTGAAGGGGCTTTTTATGAGACTGCCTCTGATGGGTTCAAATTGGAGAAATCGTGCTGTTAATTATAAAAGCAGAACCCCAAGAGAGGGTGTTTGCATATGTGTGTGCACAGATAGAAAATGTGGAGAGTGGGAGAATAAAAGATGTGGTCAACATGTTGTCCTGACCTCCCTGTCCCACTGCTTCACCAGTCACTTTTCAATTATGCGTCGCAGACAAACATAGTGCGTTTCCAACCAGATGGCACAGAGGAGTCGCAAATGCACCTCTAAAGTATTCATGCCAGTTAATGCGGCATGAGTTAAGGCTCACCGTGAAGTCATGAAATTATGATAGTGATGATGTAAATGATTATTTTTACCCGAAGAGGAACCAGTCGTAAGCGATGGTCAGATACAGGATCTCGGCCGGCTCCAGGCTGGCATGAACGGCGCCGTCCTGTGAAAAATACATGGAAAGAATGAGTCAAACATCTCAATGATCTAAAACATTGCGTAATACATTAAATGCTATGGGGCCGATAGTCTCACACAGCTCTGGGCACCAAAATTGGATTTCTTATTCTGTCTGAAAAGGGCTCTATATTGTACAAGTGTGGTCTGTGGTTTTATAAGAAGCTTTCAATATGGACCACATCTTGAGAAAAGGATTACATATTCATGACATAAAGGTTCTTTTTTTAGTAAAGGCAATGAATACAGAAGAGGGTAATTAAAGAGTGTTTGAAATGGTAAATTAGTTGTATATGGAGACGTATGAATAAGGAGGGGGGCTGAGGCCCAGGCAGATGGATTCAGTGTGGAATTACTGAAGTCACTAATGAATGTTAGAGGGGCCAAATGAGCTGCCGGGTGACTGGCTGTCATGTGGAGAGACACCAGGGGAAAATAGAGGAGCTGAAAAGACAGGAGGAGAAAAAAGAGGAAGAACTTACTGCCCACAGGGAGAGCCTGAGGAGGGACACAAACAGAGGCGTTCGGTCCCAGCCAGATATGCAGTGCACCAGGAGGCCACTCTCATCTGAAACAACACACGACATCACTTTCAAGATTATCAGCAACACTGCAAAGGGCTATATAAAATAGTCATTGTATCTTATCATTTAAAATAGTGAAGCTTTTAAAGAATTTAAAGGAATACTTTTCCCACAAAATGACCATTTATATATATCAATTACTCACTGCTTGTTTCCTCGAATTTTTTAATTAAACTTTTTCTCGTATATCTCCACAGTGAATGCAGAATCCAAAACAGATAAACATTCTTCAGGAATTTAAGTCGTCAGGGTCCAAATTTAACAATAGCACTATTATATCAAAACATCTGTTCCCCTATGGGTTTGCTACCTTCTTCTATTTTACAGTATCTTAATTTAAAGAGGACAGTAACTTGTAGAAGTGACTCTTTTTTGTAATGCCATTTTGGGGTATTTACTGACATATGTTGCAAAACAAAACTTATAAGTCTCTTCAACTTGTGTTAACTTCAGACCTTATTTCAGATATCAAACAAAACAAAACTTATTTGCAGGTTTTAGGACTCATTCCTGGACCACTCTATGGATGGTTAGTTCTGAAAGGGTGCTAAACCACTCGTGTGTACGGAGATCATTTTTATTTTAAATTGCCGTTTAAAAATGAAAACATGCAAGTGTGGACGTGCTATCTATCAACAATTACTTCATTATGATAAGTTAAGCAAAAAACTTGGTAGTTTTTCGTTCTTTCATTGATCTTTTTACAGCTCATTATTCAGTCTCTACAAAGCATTTTTAAAAATGCCTGGGAGACTTGTATTTAGTTTAGTTTATCAGTTTATTGGTTAAAAAACATACATTACAGCATTTTAGATTTTCTCTGTGTCACTGCAAATTGAACATCTTTTATATTCAGAGAGCATTTTTAAGGCCTCACTTTGATATCTGCTGACTAAAAACTAGGCTTTAAATTTTCTTGCCTACACGAATAATCAAAAAAAGAAAACAATAAGCAGATCAGTCTTTTGTTGCAGTTCTTTCCCTTATTCTAATTTGAACCCAAGCCTAAGTCTCAATTCTAAACATTTACACTTAATAAAACCTAATGTGATACTACTTCCACAAACACATCCTCCACCACCACCACCTACCATCGCTGTTGATGATGTGGAGCAGCAGCTTCAGGTAGTTCTGGGTCTGCTCCACCAGGTCCCACGACTGAACAACACACACACACACACACACACACACACACACACACACACACACACACACACACACACGTAAGGGAAAATACACCGTTGGTACAACAAAGGAAGACAATCATTGGTTGCACAGTAAGGTTGTAAAACAGACACGTTAAAGAGATAGTTTGGATCTTTTGAAGTGGGTTTGTATGGGGTACTTATCCATAGTCAGTGTATTACATACAGTAGATGTCAGTCAGCATGCTCCCACTTTGGAGAAGCGGGCTGGATTCTATAACAATTTAAGAATATGCTATGTTTAGAGTATTTTTACTGCTTTACCTTACCATCAGTGATTTCACACGGGGAACTGAAGATGTTATATTGCTCTTTTCAAAGCCAGACTGCATCAATAGAACAGTAATTTAACATCGCTGAACATAGGAGCCGCTGGTCTACCGCTGCCTCATTCAGCTAGTTTGTTTGCATTATTGCGAAATTTGGTGTTAAAGGGTTAGTTTGGATTCACCAAAGTCATACAGTGACACCCACTAACTGACTGATCAAGGCAGCGGTGACCAGCAGCTCCTGTGTTCAGTGAGCCAAAATGACTCAATGGGCAAGTGGCATTAATGAGAGAAATAATGAGGAACTGAGGCCATTGACAGCTTCACTGTCGGAACAGGCTATCTGACATTACGGTAAAGCGGTGAAAGTACTCTCAATATAGTGTACACTTCAACTAATATTGATTGTTTTTTGGTTGGACTTTTTTTCAGGTGGCTAAAATACACATAGCTGCTGACCCCATGCACAGCAGTACATTGCTTAGTTACTGCTGTTGGCACTGCTGCTGCCTCTCTAAACTGGGGGCGAGCTGACTGACATCTACTAAAGGTAATGCACTGGCAATGGACAACTACCTCATAACGACCCTGCTTCAGGAAATCTGAACTATCCTTTTAAATTTACACAAAGCATCTTAGACCACACTGTCTGGCAGTATCAGTATACAGGTTATTCCAGCTGTTTGTTTGACCAAATGAAATATTCTAGCACAAGTCTCTGTTTTTTATGGCTGCACTACTATTGTATACACATTTCTCCAAAATTCAGCTTCACATATATATTTGGTATTTTTGGAATCTAAAATAAAGTTATGTGGGTTTGAACAATGTTTGGCAGCACATGGTGAGTCAGTGAGGTTTAAACCACACTGGAACTATTATTGTAAGCGTGCAGTGGTTATGAATCACGACCAAAGCACTCTGCAGGTTGGACAACAGATGGCACTGACGCACCACAAATAGTACAGAGACAGAGTGAGTCAGTGTGTGTACACTGAGGACAACAGAGTGAAGCCATGTAATAAGAAAAGGGGCACTAACCTGGTATCGAGTCCAGTCAATGTTCAAGTTCTGAGTAAAGCACAACGGGATTGTCAAAGGAGCGTCCACATAGTCCTGTCAGTGGAGACAGTGTCATCAGGTTAATACGACAAAGCCATGCTACTGTATGATCACAGAGTGAACAGACTCACAGCAGTTTCTATACCTGATTCCAGTTGAACACCAGGCCCTCAGCTGTGTAGTCTCTGTCTTTGTAGTCCTTAAAAAACTCACACCCTAAAAAAGACAATAAACTAGAATTACCACCCCACAGTTGTATTCCTCCACGCACCAGTCAAGTATCTTTAACAATTTACGCTTCACATAAATCATTTTATACATTTTAAAAGATCATAGGCTTGACTAATAAACCTTATAAGGGGCCAACCACTGGCATCTGAGGTTAGATCTGAAGGAGCTAACGTCTTACAGAGTTGACAAAAAGTTATATATTAATTTATTTGCACTTCAGTCATGGTGGAGAGCCTTTTTATTTTTCAGAGGTGCTAAGAGCTCTCTTAATGCTCATCAAAATATTCATTATCTTATTCAGTTTTGATTTAGAGGGGCTACGGAGTTGACCTGTTGTGATTGAGACACACCTTATAGCAATATTAGTTATTACATTTATCAAAAAATAGAAAGCTGACCAGTGCTTGAGCTGCATTCCCACCTTTTTGGAAACCAGGAAGCAAGAGTCCTTGTAAAATAGCTAACCCCATATATACCTGATTTAATGATGTTTTGTAGAAATCTGACAGAGTTGACAAAAATCTGGGACACATCTTTAAAGGTCAAACATTTTCACAACAAATACATTTTAAAACAAAGATGATTATAGCAGTACATTTTGACATCAGTGTTATCCGGACATACTGTTAGTTATAGATTTTGAAGGCTTTAAACACATTTTTTAATTGTTTGAAGTTGTGAATTCTTGTCTAGAACAAGGCTGTTTTCTGGCACAGGGCAAGTTTAGAAGTTAGAAAAATGAAAGCAGATCAAAATATTTTATAAAAAATATTTATTTCATATATAAATCCTTTTAAAATAATGTTTCCCACCAAAAATTAAATTAGTGTGTTGATAAGTTACAATTATAAGGTTTTTTTTTTGGAAGGACACGATTTGTCCCACTCCTCAAAAATGGGTGATATATTTGACTCAAATCGGCCCATTTTTGTATTTATGCCAATATAGGATAATAAACCTTGTTACTTATCTGCCAACATATTCACTGATACTGTTATGTCTGCTGATAAACAGTACCAGCTTGGACTGAAAAAGTTAACAAGAGGAGTTTACCTGGGTAAGGCACAGAGAGCAAGGTGAAGTCTGCATAGCGTTGGGCCTTGTCCGCCTTCTCAGAGGACGTCACACTGCAGAGAGAGACAGACACAAAGAGCCACATGAGATACATGGTGAATATACAGCATTTTAATACACAACACTTTTATATAATACAGAGCCATTTTTGGCTTATCACATCTACAGCAGAATCACTGTATATTTTGCCATACATGCAAAAGACAGTGCTGGCAGTGGGTCTTTATTTTACATTTGGTGAAACATTGTCTATAGCCCATCCTTAATTGTTGGTGTGCTCTTACCATTCAGAATTCGAAGTAATATATTGTATTTAAAGGGATAGTTCATATCATTTTGAGTCAGTGTATTACATACAGTTGATGTCAGTCAACATGCCCCCACTTTGGAGAAGCAGGCTGGAATCTGACATGGAAGCTAAGCATTGTACTGCTGTGGAGAGGTCAACAACAAAACATATTTTAGCCACCTAAAAAAAAGTCCCTCATAAAAAGATCAATATCAGTCTAAGTGTACACTCTATTGAGAGTATTTTCACTGATATTCCTTTTAGTCAGATAGCTCGTCTCAGCGGGGAAGCCATTAACGGCTTCAGTTTCCCATCTATCTTGTGCAAAGACACCAGATTCTATTGACAAAAACAGTCATTTCAGCTCACTGAACACAGGAGATGCTGGTCTACCACTGCCCCGAACAGTTAATTTTTTTGTATCATTTTGTGATTTTGGAATATTAAAAGGGTTAGTTTGGATTCACCAAAGTCACACAATAACACAAACTAACTAACTGATCGAGGCTGCGATAGACCCGCAGCTCCTGTGTTCAGTGACATTAAATCATTGTTTTTTTTTCCAATGGAGTCTGGCTTTGACGAAAGCGATATAATGGCTTGATTTTCCTGGAGGAAATCACTGTCTACAGTAAGGTAAAGCAGTGAAAATATTCCAAATGTAGCAAACGCCCAAACTGATGTAGATTTTTTTTTTTTTTTTAGGTTGGACTTCTTTTTTTTAGACAGCTAAAACACATTTTGTTGCTGATCCCTCCACAGCAGTATATTGCTTAGCTTCCTTTAGCCACCGAAAAAAAAAAGACCCACCTAAAAAAAAAAATCAAAATCAGTTTTAGTGTGATGTTGTATGTTTAGAATACTTCACTGCTCTACCTTACCATCAGACAGTGAATTCCTACGGGAAAATTAAGCCATTGGATACTGTCTTTAAAGCCATACTCCACTGAAAAAAACTGATTTAACATCGCTGAGCACACGAGCAGATGGTCTACCACTGCCTCAAACTAGGGGTGGGCAATATAACGACTATGTACGATATATATTTTCAAGCAAGATATAAATTTAGACAACACCGTTTATATCGATATAGGGTCAAGTTGCATTACATGACGCATACCAGTGTGCATCTCTCCTCTCTAACACTCTACACACAGCTCCGCCTCACACACAGTTCTCCAGCAACACTTGAGACCAGTGGTGTAGTGGAGGGCATATGCAGGTATACGGGGTATATCCACCTCTTTTTCTGGCTGTTTACAGTATACCCACCTATCAGTCAAAAAGCTACTGGAATATATAGGAGAATATACCCACTTCCTCCTCTGTAACCTGCACATCTATCAAGTAGTGCACCTGCCTCATTGACTACCACTACACTCCTGTTAGAGCCCTAGTCTGAAGTGCACCTCCCCAGAAATGTAATTAACGTCGCGGCTAAGCAGACCTCCTGTCTATTTTTGTGAACTGAAACCATTTCTCTCAGTGGAAACAAAGCTTTTATTTACTTTAAGATGAGAAACAATAAATTGTAAAGAAAATAAAGCCCACACAAAATGGCATTTTAAGTCTTGTGTGTGATTTATCCTGGCTTCATATGAGTAGCGGTCATCTCCACTGGTCGCTGGGCTAATTTATACAATGTAAAATGCCATAAGCTTATGCTAATAACATTAGCATTTTATATTTGTTTGGAAAATGTGTTCAGTATGAGACAGTTGTTTTGTCAGTGAACCTTGTAAGTTGTAATGGAACCAAATTTTGTTACATTATCTTTGTTAAATGTTGCTGATGTTCCTGGCTTCATATGAGTAGATGAAAAGTCCGCTAGTCACTAGGCTAATGCCAAATGCTTCTGCTAAAAACATTAGCATGTTGTATTTGTGGGGAAAATGGGTCCAGCAGAAGACAAGTGCTTTGTCCGTAAATTCTGCGAGTTATAGTGAAGCTGATTTGTGTACTTGTGTTTGAAACTGTCACTATAAAGCCATGTTTAATGTGTGTTTCAAGTGTGCTTTGAATCAACTAAATTTTACAGCACTTCACAGAAACCCCACCGCCCACTAGTGTTTTGGAGGTGTAACTGTTGTGTAGCTGCATATTTTAAAACGGGGGAATAAAATCTCTGTCCTTGCATTTTACTTTGATCACAGTCTGTTTTTATTAAAAGTGCTTGTGACATCTCAAATATGGCTTTGAATTGAAACTGAAAACATGTTGCCCATTTCGTAGAAAATCCCGAGCTATACACTGTGTATCGCCAGTCAGCCTGTAAATACCGAGATATGAATTTTGAGCTGATATTGATTTCTTTAGGTGGGACTTTTTTAAGTGGTTAAAATATGTTTTGTTGCTGACCTCTCCACAGCTGTACATTGCTTAGCTTCCGTGTCGGACTACAGCCTGCTTCTCTAAACTGGAGGCGTGCCGACTAACATCTTCTGTAGGTAATACACTGAGTATGAAGTACCTCAAGTAAGTGAGAAGAAGTATCCCATACAACCCCACTTCAAAAAAATCCGAACAATCCCTTTAAGTAATGTCAAGAACCATCCATCTTTAAACTGCTGTTAAATAGTGTGATTGTTCACTGCCTGTTTCCTGTCTTTCTAGCATTAATGTTATTCCATGTTATCCTTCTTTAGTTTGTCCTGGTATGATTACTGCTCTTTTGATCACTCACTTTTTTTAGTCAAAAATCAGCAGTTTAACATACTAGCACCAGTACCATCTGTTCCACATGTAACCCAACAGATGCTATTAACAACTACTGTGGATTAGCTCCTAAAATAGCAAGAATGATGTGACAATGATTACCAGGCTCCGAATACACAGAGCTGGATCTAATTACACCAAATCTCAAGCCTCCACTGCTTAAACGTAATCACAAGCACAATGTACACACCAAGTCTCCACTAATGGCTGAATCTGCAAAAACCTTCGGCCAAACACAAATACACTGAGTCAATAGTCAGATGCCTCCCATGAGGTTTCTTTCAACAAAGGCCAGTGGAAACAGTGACCTAGATAACAGCCCGAGTGTGGATGAACTAGTCCGTGCTGTTCCTTACTTTAGGCCAAACTTAACCTTCTTGTTCTCCACCATCAGGTCACAGATGTAGCGAACCGAGAGGTAACGTAGCAGCTTAATGTCATGGCCCCGAACCTTGTCAAACAGCTGGGAGTCCCCGTTCCTGAGGAGGAGGGAGCAGAGGGAAGGAGGGAGGGATAAGAAACACAAAAGAAAGATAAGAAAGGAGGAAAATGAAAGGAGAGAAGATTAATAGAAAAATGGACTCACTCTGGGTAGCTGTTTCACTTTGATGAGAAGTTTAATCTCTCAGTCAGTAACATTACTTTTAACTAGGGGTGTAAATTCCAAATTTCATCACAATACTTATCTGTATCGATTCTTTGGCCAGAAATGGTGGTGTGGGTGTCCCATGGGAATTTAAAAAAAAACGGCCTATCTTAAAAATGAAAATATGTATTGTTGTTTTCACTTTGCAAATTTTGGATCTTTGATCACTGAAACAATATTATAGACCCAGATCACCCCACACTTGGAGGTCATTTATTGTAGTGTTTTATCACTATCACAAGTGACATCATCACATACTGATTGCGCTCATAGACAGACCAGGGTCTGATGTTCACTGTGCACTAATCTAGTTGAAGGGGAACTCCCTTTACACTGCCTCTTCAAGGCGAGAATTTCATGCCGTTATGTCACCTTGCCATTCTGAACAAAAAGTACAATCACAATAAAGACAGACAGTTGTTTCACCTTTAAGGCATCACTGGAGGTAGTAACAGTTAAGAAACAACATCTATGTACAAGGCACAGCTAGCAGGATGGGATCATGGACGGCACAGGTGTGATATTTTGATAACATGTTGTGCGTGTGACCCACCAGGATATTTACAAAGTAGCTGATAGCAGTTAGCAACTAACTCAAAGAAGAACAGTGGCCGAAAATGTCCACACATTAGGAAAACAATGAGATCCAGGAGCTCCTTACCCCCTGAACCAAGGAAAAGATCAGTCGCAATATAACAGGTATGTTAAATGATTGTTATTGCCATGTTATGACATTGTTATAGAATAGAAAGTGCTGCTGACGCATATCATATATGTCACACAAGAGGGCGAGGCTGCTGTGTTACATTTCATGCCCGTCACGCCTCTTTTGTTTCCGCAATGCTGGCGTGCTGTCTAAAATCACACACTGGAACAGCATGATGCCGCCATTGTTTGGTTCTACATAAAAATGCAATGGCAGCATAAACAAGGAACTTTGTAGCGGCGTCACAGCACCATCTCTGAGCTTAAATGACTCGTAGGAACAACAATTTTTGAAAGTGGACCAGTAATGAGAAAGATGGCTGTAGCCAGCATTGGTAAAACAGGCTACAACATAACCACTTATTGCAGGTGCACCCCTCCATTTTACTTCCACTAATAGTGCTTGATTTTGTCACTAACAGGCTAAAATGGTTATGATGAGTGTCTGTCAACATAACTTAACATTACTTATTACTTAACTTACTTAATCAGCTAAATATTCAGCAATGACACGGAAAATCTTTAAGATAAGAGTAAGAAACAGTTTCTGTACTACAACGAAACAATCATTAACTCTCACTCGTGTTTCCACCATTTACTTCCTGCAACAAGTCACCTCTCATGAGATTTCAGAATGAGACTTTTCGCCACTGCCAGATGCAGCACTGTCTTTCTTTCGGTAGTGGAATAATTCAAAGATTTGTTGTCCCAACGAGACATTAGACACAAAAACATGGGAAAATGGGGTCTAGGTTGAAAAATACTGGAGTTCCCCTTAAAAGTCATGTGATTACCTGACTGCGCTGTCATCCTCTGGAACCTCCTCAGACTCTGTCCACGTGTCATCAGTGCCCCCTGCAAAAAACAGAAGCGTGATGAATAAGATGAATATCTTTGATCAGAATGAGGCTAATGACAAGTACTCAAACTCTGTACATCATTCATCATTCCTGTTACTGCATCTCGCTAACTTGGCTGTACTGCATGTCACTAACTCTGCCTCTTCTCCGGAGCCTTTGTGCTCCACTGTCTCTCAGGTTAACTCATATCGCAGCGGTGCCTGGATAGTGTGATGTGTGTGGTTGTGCTGCTGCCGTGGTCCTGCCAGATGCCTCCTGCTGCTGCTGTGATCATTAGTCATACTTCTACTGTTATTATACACATATGATTATTGTCACATATGTATACTATCAGATATTAATATATACTTTCAACATATTGTACCACAATAGCCGTAATTAGAATGATAATATCATTACTTTAATTAATGTTGTTGTAAGCTAATGTCATTACTGTCTGTCCTGCATCCCTCTCTGTCTCTGTCTCTCTTTCTGTCTCTCTTTCTGTCTCATTGTGTCATACAGATTACTGTTAATTTATCATGTTGATCTGTTCTGTACAACATCTATTGCACATCTGTCCGTCCTGGAAGAGGGATCCCTCCTCAGTTGCTCTTACTGAGGTTTCTACTGTTTTTTTCCCCGTTAAAGGGTTTTTGGGGAGTTTTTCCTTATCCGCTGTGAGGGTCATAAGGACAGAGGGATGTAGTATGCTGTAAAGCCCTGTGAGGCAAATTGTGATTTGTGATATTGGGCTTTATAAATAAAATTGATTGATTGATTGATTCACAATTACAGTACTTGTTATTTCATATAGTTGATAACAAGTTGAGTTTTAAACATGAAACCATTCAGAGCAAACATGCTGAACACATCTGAAGGCAGATATAAAGGACATAACTGTGCTGGAAACAAATACCATATATGAGTAATTGGAAAATTTGAGATTGAACATTTGAAATAGATAAAATAACAGACTACTGCTATGACTTTCGTCCTGGCCTCCTCGTTTATACGAAGTCACATTAAGGTTCTTTTTGGTAAAGGCTATCCACTGAATAGGGGGCTTAGCCCAAACCTCTGTAGGGAGGTCCAGGGGGGGGATCCTACCCTTGGAATTTTTATGACGAACAAGCTCTATGTTGATGCTGTTTTCATGCTCTCTTCTTTACCCTTAAAAGCTATTTTTTTCCCAGATTAATCATAAATTGTGATGTTAGAAAAATCTGCAGTTGTTAGTAATTAGTACTGAGTAGAGACAGAATACTTTGCAACTGCTATCATTACATTTAGAGAATTTTGAGGTATTTGGACTTGAGTATTTCCATTTATTTTTTTCCCCTATGGATTTCTTTTTTCACTTTATTAATTTTTTTGACTGCTGTTGCTACTCTTTGTAAAGCATCTTTGAGTATCCTGAAAAGTGCTATATAAATCCAATGTATTATTATTATTATCATTATTATTATTATTATTATTATCATTATTATTATTATTATTATCTGTGCTGATATACTTACACCCCACTACATCTCAGAGGGAAATATTGCACTTTTTACTCCATTACATCTTTTGTCTGCTTTAGTTACTTTGAAGACTCAGTTATGAAACAAAATATAATCAAGTAATAAATAATAATGTATAATGTATCAACACCCCACATGGCAGAAGCTACAATTTACCAATGTTGTCTTAATATCTCATTTGCAGACTACTGCTACTGGCAGCGATAGACGGTTGTTCTGTCCAGCAACTCCACAATTCAGCCGTAGCATCATCATCACTAACTGCGTTCCAGTATCCATACTTCCATACTATATAGTATGCCAGAAAGAGATTTAGTATGTCCCAATACATAGTATGTCAAATGCAGTATGCCAAAAATACCAGAATGTTCTACTACATCCGGTCATATTTGGCAGTATGCACGACAGCATGCTTTTCTGGCTGTTCTGGCCCACAATCCTCTGAACAGCAGAAGATTTGTTACATCAACTGAGCCGCAGACACAGACTGTTGACAGCTGATTGACAGCTCTCAGAAGCCGCAATTACGGCTGACAGTGAATTAAAGTAAGTGATGACCAGTCTTATAGTAATAACAGGAATATTAATTGTTAAAATGAAAAAAATAATCAGAAAGATTACCACCAGCAACAGGACATAACTGTGAAAATTACAATGACAGAGAAATGCATATGTAATTTTACTGTGGTGAATATAATATGTTAGAATCTACCTTGTATGCAGCTATAACATCAAAGTTAAAATTTCATACATTGCAAAGTAACAACAACAGCAGGTCTCTCCAGGTTGACCTGTGTCTCCCTACAAGCGCAGTTTTGTTTTATCTCTAAGGTAACAAATATATGAGACAGAGGGTCAAAGTGCAAGGCGTAATGTTATGAGACAGTAGTCTGTCCCCATTGTGTGCATACTGCATGAAACAGTATGTACTTTGTAAGGTCAGCTGCAGTACCTACTAAACGTAAAAAGACATAGCATGCCATTCAGAATACACCCAAAGCTGTTGTTTCAAAATCAAAGAATATATTTATTGATAGGAGCACTCATAGGCACATAAAAACATAGCCCTAGCAGAGCGCTAAATATCTTTTTAATTTATAAACAATTCTCTGTCATAATCAGCAGAGGGAGGCACGTAGAAACAGCTGTAGCAGCATGTTGTGTGCGACGCACGTCACCTACTGTTATGTTAACATTGGGCAAATGTGCAGAAAGAATGTTTCAACCAGAAAGAAGAGAATTTGATTGAGCGTTTACATGATAATTAGGTGCTAATATTTGCCAATTGAACGGCATATCAAAGGTTTACGTCATAGAAATAGAGTGACAAGGAATCAGATGTCGCAGATATGTCTATATTCATATGATGGTCCAAAAGTAAAAACTCATAAAAATCTTAAAAAATAAGGCATCAATTTCAATGAATTGATGACAGAAAAGATAATGCGTTTAAAAAATGAATGCTTATTAATCACATACTGTAGTGCCCTTTGATCCGGTGCACCACTGAAGGCCACAGCGTCACATGATGGTGGCCGGCGAGACAACACTGCTTGGCCTTAGCTGCACTGTTTTCTGCAGTTTCTGCAATAAGGAATTGTCATACCATCGGAGTACTGCAAGCCTGAAATATCACCTCAACGCAAAGCATTTAGCAGCGAACCCGGAGGTCAGAGCTAGCACAGCCTCTGATGTGAGCGCTAGCTGCAAACCTTGTCAAGCTACACTCGACCAGGCGTTCAGACACAAACTGAGTAAGCCCGCCTGTGACCAACTAAACTTTGTAACAAAATGGACTGCAGACCAGTTTTGGATAATCGTGTCCAAAATCCAGCAGCTTTACGATGCCACATCTGCCAAAATTAATTTGAACTTCATTTTTTACATTCACGGCAAAAATTGATGTATGTGATTTATTTAGATTAATTAATCATAGAGTATGTAATTAATTATTTTAATAGTCTGACAGCCTTATTTTTTATGCTATTTATGTTTAAAAAGATATTATTTGTTTAAGTGTTAATACCAGATCTTTTTAAGGCTCAAACTTAAAAAAAATATATTTTTTAAGATATACAATAACAATTTGAACAGTATACAAATGATAAAAATAAAAACATACAACAAATGAAAAGGATTCGTGTTTGTAATCGATGGGTGTAATCAAGTTACCAACAAAGCCGGTTCCAAATCACACTTTCATTTTCAAACTGATACAATGACAAATGATTCAAACTAAATCTGCCAAACAGTGACAAACTGCTGAGAAATGATCCCCCTCACACTCAGCCTGGTTTCACAGAAACAGTATATGTGTAAATCAATACAACTTCTGATCAGTTAGAATATACTATTTATCTTCAGTAGATCTGCAAAAGTGATCCTCACCCCTAGCAGCTCTTCTGCAGGACTGTCTGTGTTTGTCACAATAAATAGAGCCAGGGCTTCTGACGCAGCAAGTCTGACTGACAGACTCACACTCGGCACACTCTCCAGTTGTTTGTCTGTGAATGATGCACCTTGAGTTTTGATGACATCTAGCTCTTGTTCTTACTGAGGTTGAATGCACTTATTGGAAGTGCTTTGGACAAAACCTCTGCCAAATGAATGTAAGTAATGGAAAAGCCCAGTCAGCGAACTGGGACTACAAGCTTCTCTGCATAACTTCATTTGCTAATAGTTCACAAAACCTGTTTCAGGCCATGACAGAAGTATTTCAGAAATGAGGAACCTCAGTGAGGGTTTCTATCCCCTCTGGGCATCTTCCTAATGCTGGCCAGTTACTAAAGGAACAGCTCATTACTGCCTCAGGTGTGTGCAGCCTGAGAACACGGAGCTGGACTTCTGATTTACACCAATGTATAGAGCAACTAGAATTACCACCCCGCAGTTGTACGCTTCCACGCACCAGTCAAGTTTCTCTTACAGTTTACATCCATGACTGTGAAAACATGGACGCTTCACACCCATTGTCCCCCCGACAGCACAGAATCAACAGTTTCTATGTGGACACCCAAGATGTCGCCAATTCAGTATCTGACCAAATATTTTCCCTTCTGTTCCTGAGATATGGTGCTGAATAACCAATTAATCAAAGTAATTATCCAATTAATTGAGAAAATAAACAGCAGAATGATCTGTGATGGAAATAGTCAATAATTGCACGCAGCACTAATCTAAACCACATCATTCCAAGATTAAACTGAAAGTGAGTGTAACTGAAGTGTCACTAATAATTCCTCACTGCACACGTAAACTGTGTTTGAACAACTTTAATGAGCACAATAGCTCAAAGTTAAGCAAAAAGCCGGTCTGTTAATTGATAAAATTTTATATCAGACATTTTGGTATGAATTCTCTTTCGCATTTATTTTCCATGTAAGTTTGAATACAACGTGGCTTATCATCTGACTCCTCACGTTGCTGTATGTTAAAAGTTATTTTCGTCAACACATCTCACCAATGAACTTTGTGAGTACACTGTTTGAATAACTGATTAAAATGATAGCCAAAACTAAAAAAAAAAAAAAAAAATCAGACCCAAGCAGCAAAACAGTGGTATTATTCTTTAAACAGACTAGAGTTGTTGTATATTTTAGCACATTTACCACAAATTGTACACTTGAAACTGCAGACAACATTTTCAAAGGCACACCATGACAGACAAGATCTATCAAAGTGAACGTTTGCTTTATTTTTATCCTTTAATCATCATTTTATCATATTACAGTAAGTGTTAGAAAGACACATTTCCTCTTATTGGCTCTACTTGGTGACGTCTGAATGAAGCTAATGCCAAGTCATTTGGAGGAACATAAAATCTCAATGGGAAACTCTGACAGCTGTCTGACAACTGCTGCAACTAATAGAAGGTCAGAGAGCACACAAGGAACTGCAACCACCCATGGAAAACAAGTCAGCCACAACTTCCCCTGTTAGGCTAAATTTAAGATGAGTCTGTGTGTGTGTGTGTGTGTGTGTGTGTGTGTGTTGGGGGGGGGTTGTACCTGAGAAGATGTAGTTGTATCCCGTGCGTCCATACAGCTCCCCCCATCCTGCCAAAGTGGACGACCGGCAAATATGCTGCAATGAGGAAGAAGAGATGCTGTATCATTTCACTTCTGGAAAATGATTTTTAATACTTTGTCTAAATTACTTGGTCACATATATAAAGAATGCTAAGTTTTCTGATATTCCAACCTTATTCATTGTTGAGGGCAGAGGGTGTGGCTATGTTTTTTATTTTGTTTTGTTTATTTAATCTCCTCTTGTTTTTGCAGGTAGAGGCAGAACCTTAATGTACTACTGAACATCCTCATTATGTTCATGTACTATTGTTTTGGATCTAGTGGGACCAGTACCCACCTCTATATTGAAATACTGGTACTCATCCCCTGACAGCACATTATAAAAGGTGACTGTATTTGTCTTTGATACAAATGTTGTTTAATTCTGTTTTAAAGAGAAAAAAAAAAGTTTAAAAAAAGAAATGATGCTGGATCAGCCTGTTGTTTCACTGTTCATACTAGCATGCTGTTACAATAACCATCTCATCACCCTCTCAGCCTAAATATACAGAAGAGGTAGTGGCGGCAACAGAACATCTGCTAATTTCTTTCTATGAAGCGGTGACACCTGGAGGTATTTATTATTTTGGCTCCATAAACAGCCTTGCATTTATCCCTGTTGTTCCAGTACAAGCTGCAATGATAATGTTATTTTTATTTTTATTTCATATTCTCTGATATTTCATATTTCTGATTCTGATTCTGAGGCAGTGAGGGTTAAGCTCTTCAACTCAGTGGGGACGTCAGCCACCTTGGCCAATATTACTGTCTTTAAAAGGCTGTAGTGGGCTAAGTTTTACAGCTGGAGAAGATACTGGTATCATATGAAACTAAAAGATCTAAGGCATTCACTGGTAGAAACCATGTTATTCTAGCTTCTCAGGGAAAGGGGATAAATAATACTCTTATGTAAGGCTACATTTTGGCGAGGGGAAAAACCGGCATCGCCATTTTCACAGAGTTCCCTTGACCTCTCACTGAATGAAAATGGGTTCTGTGGGTACCCACAACTCTCCCCTTGACAGACATGTCACATTATGCTAGTCTCATGCAGTTTTGTGGAAAAAAAACCTGCAGTTTTTGGCATGCAGTACAACTATGTTATTTTTGCCCACTGTATGTGAATATTTCTGCATATTGGGTCCCTAAACAGTGTTGGAAATGCATTAATTTCATAAATCTTGTGGATTCAATGAGCCCAATTTGCAGTGGCCTCTGGGATAATCACAGGCTAATGAAACTTACAGCCACAAACTAGAGACCTCGGGCATTCAGTGGTTTTCATAGGTATATTGACAACAAGGGGGTCTTAGCAGTTTCCAGAACAGAAGTGCTTGCCATCCAGCCGCCAGAAAAATTTTGTCAAACGTTTTTGACACCAAATCACAGCGTGGGTTTTTTATGGTGTTCTTCCAGGTCTTGGTGTCTTAATGTGGTATTTAGGAGGGATTTTTGACCATTTTAATTAAATCTAGAGCACAATGTTTGTTGCAGATGTATGACTAGAAAAAAATTGACACAGTGCTGAGCTGCATCTCAAATTAATGTTCAGGTTCCCAGCTTTCAGATGTTTTCTATGTGGCATATACTGTTGACCTGCTATCCCCCCTTAAAGATCTCCTGTCCCCTTTAAAATCGACAAAAATTGGTCTATTGTAGAGAGAAGTGGAGTAGAAGAGGTCAAAGAGCAGCTGATTAGTGGTACCTTGCCATTGTAGAGGATGACGGGACAGACAAACCTCCCTCTGCAGCGAGCCAGCTTACTCCGGTTCACCAGGTCCTGTAGCTTACTTATCTGAACTGTGCTCTCAAACCTACACACACAAACCACCATGTGTTATCCATCAGTCATTTGACTTAATCTCTTAAATGTAATTCAGCACATACCACAGAAAATATGATTATAAAGCAACACGCTAACACTGCTGACACCTCCAAATAATAAACTGAGCTTATCTTCTGACATACAGGTTACAGTTAAGTGGGACATTCTGCCTTTGCTACACAACAAGTTAACAACCACTGATTATTTCATTACATTAACCAATATATCTTAACTGCCTGCGGCTATTTTGGCCATGATAACACAGAAACTTATAAAGGCTTGAATAAGGAGCAGTTCATTCAAAAAAAACTCATGAGCATCTAAGATAATCATAAAGGAACTAAGAAAACCCAGCAAGGGCTTTCTACATTTACATCAAGCTGTCTTAATTTTACAGTGCTGTTTTCATGTGACAACTATTTGAGTCCACATTAGCATTTTGACGTTCATTTTGGAGAGCTGTCTGCCCACAGTGGGACACCTGAAAAACATGAAAACAGCTCAGTCTCTTCCCTAATAACAAAACTGCATCACAGCCAACATTTTGTCAGAAGCAGGACAGACAGGTGGACATCATCTGACAAAATCAACATGAGTACATGTTAATGACAAGAGCTGTGCTGTATTATCAGTCATATTGACGTTTACAATGCATAATTACAGAAAAAGCTGGAGAGAACAGAAAGGTTTCCTCTCAACTTTGCTGCCACACAGCTCCTACCTGTGACCAGGCTCTACACAAAGCCTGTGAGCCTGCTGAGTGACAGCCTGTTACACCTTCCTTCAGCGTCCTCCCTCCCTCTGTACTCATATATATACTCACCCATACTGTGTCTTCATACTGCCAAATTGACCATATAGTTGTTCTCATTCACATACTTGTCTGTTTCTGTTATTAGATCACTGAACAAGTTTAAATTCCCATAAACACTACATGTTCTTAAACACTACCAAGCTACATAACTTTTCTACCATGGCAACTATTTTATGTATATTTATGCTGCAAATATACTGTACTATTGAATTTTTAATCAGGGCTGCACCTGATAATTAGTTTCAATAAACAATATTATGCCGCTTGGGGTCTCGCAATCAAAACAATAACAAAAGACAGTGCAGTGCTTCATTGCAGTTGGTTTCTCCTGGTTAGAATCAGGAGGCTTTTACCAGGAGCCAAATTATCCCCACAGGTCTCTCCCTCTCCAAAACAAACAAACCAAGTGATTCAAACTAGTAAAAACTAGGGGTGATCACCAGTGGATCCACGATACAATTTTATCACTATACTTAAGTCAAAATTAAATATTTTTGTGATTTTAAATATGTTGCGAAGTGTGTCCAAACTTTTGACTGGTACTGTAGATTCACTCATTGTTTCAACACTAGTAGATACTGTCATCACAAATAATACTGTCTAAAAAGCCCTTTGGATGTGTGTTTATTGTTCACAATTTTTCAACTGACCTCAACTCTGCTATAAATACTTTAAAATGTTATTTCCCAGTTTATTACTTTGAATCATGGGAAACTGCAAGACAGACAATAACATGAAAACATGGACATATTTTGCTGGAAGGAAAGTTTTCCGTCCTCATGAGGGATTTCCCCAACAAGGAGGCCTTTTTTAAATACAGTATATTAAAGTTTCCTCCTATGTTAAAGCACATCTTCTATTTCCAGCGCTACAGTGGAAAATAGTTCAACTGCATTTAACAGCAGTGAGAAATAAGGACTTGTTGAATCACAGCAGATTCCAGCTACAATGTGGCTGAATCTGCCTAAAATGTCACTTGGCCCCTTTTGATGGGGTCAGAGAGGCTGGAGATGGAGGCTGACCTTTGCTCCCTGCACTACAGTAAGGTGTGCATGATTAGAGGAGTGACACAAATAAACAAGAGGGTAATTAGTAACTGAGTGGACTGGACTTTGTATCGGAAAATGATGGTTTGACTGAGTGGTGGAGAACTACCTGTCTCTCTCGACATCTGTGCATTCATACTCCAGGAAAACTATCTGCCGGGGATAATGGCCGCACACTTCTCCGTTGGAGTTATGGATGATACTGTACTTGTAATCTCTGGCAAATAACTCCAGACAGCGCTTCTCTATCACCTCCACCTGAGGAGAAACAAAAACAGAAGTTATAGTAGTGGATTAAATGGAACCTCAGTTTTCATCTGAAAAATGACAGAACTTGGGAATGAGTCTTTTTGGATCAAACTTAACCAGTAATTTAACTGGGTAGAACAAGGTCTAGCCACAGAGTCCAGATTCGTTTCTTTGGTTTATTTTTATTAGACCCTGATTGATCACAAAAATATACAGGAGTTTATATGGAGGGTAAATCCATAAATATGAATTACATTAAGCTGCATGCAGAATCAGGGCTGCACAATTAATTACAATATTATCGAAATCACAATATGGCCAAGTGAAATATCCACATTGCAGAAGCTGCAATCTTTTGATAAAGGTATAATGTAGGGACGCACGATATTGAATTTTTGGTCAATATCAGATATATATATAACTTATTTGGCTGATAACCAATACTAATATCGATAAATCCATTTCTTCCCCCACCTAATCTTAGTGATCATCAAGTCTCTTTTGTCGTGGAATTAACATCATATTATGCATGCATAGTCTCATGGCCCACCAGCAGATGGAGGCTTGAAATACAATGCTTTTCAATGTATGTGATATTCATTAATTGTGTAAAATAAGAAAAAGAATATTGGCCGATCCTGAGAGTTCATTTTAAAGCCAATATCAGCTGATACGGATGACATGCCGATATCATCGTGCATCCCTTGTGAAAGGTGCTGCCATAACATACCATATTTACCACAAAAAATTAAGCGCTGTGGTGCTATAGAGATGCCCCAGCCTACATATCATATTCCAGACATAAGTAAAAATATAGGGTAATACATGA